CTTCCCGTAGAGTGCTCTGAGCAGTGTCAATGACGTAGGAATCAGTATTTAACTGTCTGGTATTATTTCTACTTGCCTTCCCTTTCTCCCTTTCCCCTAATGACATCATTTCCCAGAACCCCCACATCTATGGAGGCCCCATTCTTCCATTACCTTGAGGATTATAGACGATCCCACAGCTTTAACTGTCTATCAGAATAACACCCAACTCTCTTGTGCTAGTTTCTCTCTTAGTTTATACTATTACAGTCCTAGCTACTTATTGTCACCTCCATGAGAGTTTTTGACACAGAAAACACAAGGTACCACACCCAAATCCATCATTACCCCATCACACAAGTGGGGTCTGACATCCGTATTTCTGTTAACAGCATCCTGATTTCTCCAGTAAGGCTCCAAGTTTCTAATTTATCTATGTCTCTTCTCTCTCTCGTACTGCACATCTCAGCAGTTGCCAATTTCTATTGATTGTCTCTGAAATACCTCTTGCATCTTTTTCTTCCTTTTAATTCCCACTGCTCCCACCTAGTCTAGGTTCTCATTAATCTCTTTCTTGTCTGGACTATAACAATAGCCTACTCTCCAATCTTCACAGCTCTAGACTCAGCTTAACATAACAAGTGCATTCTTCCAGAATCAGACACTCTTAAAACACATGTTTCTCTCCTCCCTCCCTCCATCTGTCTCAATTGTGTGATGTTTTATGTCTGTCTTTTGTCTGTGAAAGCAGAGACCTTGACCAACAAGTTCACTTCTGTATCCTCAATGTCTAATAGTACCAACAAGAACTGTTTATTAAACTTAGTACTACAACTATTAAATATTACTATAGTATTAACATACTATATTACTAATATAGAATATCACTATTAAAATACATGATCAAATGTTAAACACTGCTCAAAGTATTTGTTGAGTTAATTATTGAAGAAATCTCTTTTCTGTCCTTGCTCTGATCTTTACTCCCTTGCTCAAATATCCTCAGCCCTTCCCAATTGCCTACCGCTGTATGTCCCTTTCCTGGAATATGAGGCTCCAGTTAGGAGACCAGGCTTGCCTCTCTGAAAGCTCCATTCCACTCAGAATATTTGGAGTTCCCTAATATATTAGGGAACTGATAATATTAGTTGTGACCTCGAAAGCCTCCCCAGCCTAAATCATGCAGCAGAACCAAGAAAGCGGCCCAGCTAATCATCCCCAACGATTACACTTGCTTCTGAAACCGAAGGTGCAGTTAGTTAAGAATTTTAAGAGTTGATCATCATAGTTCCAGTGGGAGCCACGGAAAAGGGATGTACCTATCTCAAGATAACCAACTATTAAGGCTGCAGAATTTTCGCAAATCCTACCAAAATAATTTTGCCTTATTTAGATGTAAAAGACAAAAAAGGTAAGACTAGAAATTTCCTCTAGTTTACTTAAATTCATTACACTTTGCCTTTTTTTTTGTCTAGATAAGATAGCATCAGATGCACTTTTTCTCTAAACTGGCTTCTTTTCATTCTTGAGCTTTTTCTCATACTGAATTATGTACTCTCTGCTCGGTATATACTCAGAATTATAGTTTCTCCATTTGCATCTTGATGATCAAAATGTTGTTTTCATATTACTTGGAATTTATTTCTTCTTGAATCTCATAAATTTCCCCCTAAAGCATGGTTTCTCTGGCCTTGCATTTTTATTTTATTTTATTTTATTTCTTTTCAGTGTTCTTTTAATATGGGTACAACTTCTATTAGCCTGGGTAAGAGTTACTCAGATAATGGAGCACCTGGGTGGCTAAGTGGATTAAGTCTCAGGTCAGGTCATGATCCTAGGGTCCTGGGATTGAGCCCCGCTCAGCAGGGGGCCTGCTTCTCCCTCTCTCTCTGCCTGCCTCTCTGCCAACTTGTGATCTCTCTCTCTGTGTCAAATAAATAAATAAAATCTTAAAAAAAAAAAAGACATATATAAACTTAATTCTATTTCTGTAACATTCTAAATTATCTGATATAGTGTGCCTCACAGTTTTAAATCACATGTCTAAACTGTCAATAAAATATTGAAAAATTTTTGAACCCTGCATTTTCAAATATAAATGCCTATTCAAAAAATAGAAGCCTGACTGTCTGTTCAAAAGCTGTACTCATTACTATAGTTATCAACAATTACTAAGTTACCTTTGATCCCTTAAAGATAGCATAGTCTGATAGCCAATATTACTTCATCCTACAAGATGAGCTTCTTAAAAAAAAAAAAAAAAAAAAAAAAGATATTTTATTTTTAAGTAATCTCTACACCGGAAGTGGAGTTTGAACTTACAACCCTGAGATCAAGAGTCTCATGCTCCACTGACAGACCCAGCCAGGCACCTCTAAAATGAGCTTCTTTATTACAGATGAAAATATCCCTCTTTTACAAAATTACATAATCAGGTGTCTGTTATTTCTACGTTAATTTCATTTCTACTAGCTAACAGTGAAAGGAAGAAATTGGCAAGAAAAAAACCTTTAGTGCTACTTTATTTCTTCAGCTATTTTGATTGTGATCTAAGGTATTATGCTTATCTGGAAGTGGACTTACCAAGGACATTTTGAAGCCTGAAGATGAGTCTACCTAGCAAACTTTCCTTCGTTACTCATTGTAGAACCCTTATAGTTATGTTGGACCCTCATCCTAAAACATGGCGCTAGGGAGAAAAATTCAGTATTAGACTTGGTTGAACTGCATCCAAGAATTGTCATTTTGATGCAAGATCACATGGAAGAAGGGCGTATGTCCATTTTCCATCAACCATCTTAAGATCAAGCTTTGTAGCCTCCTTCAGCCATCTGGTCAAAGCCTTATGTAGTCATAAAACACTTTTAAAAATCCTGCTCTGTTTCCCATCAAACTTAAAATTTGTCGAAAAACTAAAAATTACTGGTCTCCAAAACTTACTCTCTTGTTCTCTTACTAGTAATTTATACATATAAAAGCATAAGAAAACCATATTCAGGACACCTGGGTGGCTCAGTTGGTTGGGCGTCTGCCTTTGTCCTGGGTCATGATCCCAGGGTCCTGGGAGTAAGTCCCTCATCGGGCTCCTTGCTCGATGGGGAACCTGCTTCTCCCTCTGCCTGCTGCTCCTCCTGCTTGTGCTCACACACACACTCTTACTCTCTGACAAATAAATAAATAAAATCTTTAAAAAGAGGGAGAGAGCCCTGTTCTTTGCCACATATTTCCATCAAGGATACGAGTGATATTTATAAGTCCCTTTACATTCAGGAAACAACTATTACCTCATCTAGCCTCCAAAATGCATAACAGTTAGCCCATCTTGGAATTCTATTGTTTAAAAATTCACTAAATAATACTTTTTTAATAGGCAGCCATTTCTTGGTCCGTTCCCTTATTAAACTCTGTCCCTTTTAGGCTAGAGACAGTGCTTGATTTTCTCTTGCAGGTATGAATCACTTCATGGAAAATCTATCCATCTACACACTGCTGCATTAAGAATTAATTTTAAGCCTTCAGAACCTACAAATAGTACCTTGACTTTTAGAGCCTAAAGTGAGCATAGGAGAAAACAGTACTTAACAGACCACAAGTTGGATTTACCATCTCAGTGCTCTGAGGAACCGTAGCTAACTGCCACATAGTACCGTTTCTCTAAGTTAGCATTTCACTCCTTACAAAATGTTTTTGACTGGAATTGACATGTGCAACAGAGAGAGAGAGAGAGAGAAAGCTATTACTGGTAGTAAAATAAATGCTCACCGCTTGAATGGTAATAATCAATAAATAATAAATATGCCTTCCATCAAATATGTACAAGGTAAATTAAACATACTCATTTTATTAAGAGAGAAATGAATACTTATCTTCTACAGAGATGGAATGAATGATGTGGAGTCTTCCCATCACGTGTGTGATGTGGGTTAAACATAGTGTCAGGGGTGAGAAAATAGTCAGGAGGCCCATTTATGGTTGCCGTTTGCAGAGGTTCAGAGAAGTGGCCACTGGCTTCTGAGGAAAAAGATCCCATTACCAATATAAAAAATATAAAGTTTCTTCCCTGTCCACCAATGGTGCGCAGGTGCTTTCTTTGTTTTAGGACATGTGTTATGTTTCTTTGGAAACTTTAATCACTGTCGACTGATCCTAAAACAAGCTGGGTTAACCTTTCCTTACGCTTTTGGAAAAGAAGAATGGACAACTGAAAAACACCCATGACTCCCAAAGACCATGAAAGCGAACACAGAGTTTGTGTAATCTGTGTGTTTTTAATACAAGGCTGTGGCAGATCTGAGGGATATGGTTACCTAAAGAAAGAAGAAAAATCCTCTGAGCCATTTTATTATGTACATTTTAAATGTTTCTTGCATTCACATTAATATTAACTTTATGACCTACTCACATCGTGGTATAGTCATTGAAGAGGAAACCAAGCACCCTCCCTTCCCTGGGTAAAGACTTGCTTTCTGATTTGCCCTAGCTCACATCTGTGCTTACTGAAGGAACAGATGCTCAGCTTCCAAGGGTTTGACTTTGGCCTTTTCCCTCCTATCAGTAGAGCAGAAAGAAAGGGGGTTCCCAAGTGATGGTGGCAGCTTTCCAATGGCTGGCCCGGGCATTCACATTTAAAGTAAGCAGGTGGCATCAATGGACAGTCTAAAGACTAACAAGATAAGAGTGCAATTGATCTTTTTATTAACCAGTGCCCCCAGGTTGGGTAAGGGGTGGGGGGAGGGAAGCCTGCTCCTCCCTCCTGAGTTCAATTACTCGGCTCAGTTCCAGAAACATCTTAAACCCATTTATATTTTTGTCTGAGCTGATCCTCAAAGCGCAGGGACACCAGCACAGATACCCCATGTCATCTAAATTCTTTCTTCTCTGAGACTCCAAACCAGTAAATGCCTTTATAATTTGCATCTGACTCAAAGCAATATTTTACGTACATTGAGAATGTATCTTTAATCCTACTGACATTCTTTCCATGTTGAATTTGAATGGTGGGTTGTTTGTCTTCCTTCTAGGTCTCAGACAACTCAGCTCTGAACCACACAACTAATTCTGAAGAGTATGGAGCCTACATAGATTCATAAGGTAAATGATTAATTTCAAACTATGACACAATAGATTCAATTATAGTATGAAATCCAGCATTGTGTAAATGTGTTGTTTCTCATTCATCTGTTGGAGATTGGGTTGTGCTTTAGGTTGGCTCTCTACAGAGTCAGGCTCTGTACTGTGTGTCACTTAAAGCTAGCTACATACCTTGAATTTTTATAAAAGTTTTTTTATGATCTTAAGGGGCACCTGCCCTGGGGTATGCCAGGACATTACAAATCACATAGTCAATTGGAAAGTAATGAGAGCCGTTATTTTCATACAGGAAGCCCAAAAGTATTGGGATGCATTCCTGTGTTGAAGTAGTGGGGGTTATAAAATAACCTTTTAAGACCACCTCTACCACAGGGGAAGTCAGACGAGGAAGTACGTGGTAAAGGAATTTATAGAGGATGGCCTCATGTTTTTGTTTCTCTAGATCAGTCATCATTTGCTTTCCTGCTTGTTGAATGATTGTTCATTTCTAGAAGGTATCGAATCTAGATGAAGGTTCGTACAGGATCTTTGATATCACCTACAGTGGAGTGGTGAGAAGCCTGGGCTTCAGAGCCAACCCAAATTCAAATTGCGGTTCTGCCATTTACTGGCTATGATACAGTGGGCTTCTATTTTCTTAGTGCCACAGTGGGGGAAACCATAATACTCACTTCCAAGAGCTGTGGCACAGTATAAACAAATGAGTAGACACAAAACATTTGAAATATTGCCTAGCACCTAGTAAACACTAAATTTACTGATTAACGAAAGGGCTTTCATTTTACCTCCTCATTTCGTTTCAGCTTCTTCATTTTCCTGTCCAGAAACTTGGTGGTTGTGGGAATTACTAAGGGAAGCAAACTCTCAATTCGCTCTTAGCAGCCTCTCTCCTAAAGGAGATATATTATACCTTTCATGTAAATGCCAGGAAGGGAAATAAATGGCATCCCATTGCCCTTTGAATGGGTCCCTGGCTAGCCCTAGGTGGTGTGACGTGTAAAGTGACCTGAAGGCAGGGTGCCTGTCAGCTCGCCAGCACCCAGCACGTGGAGTGGGAGAGTCACTTAGAAGACTCATAGCCATTTCAGAAACATGCAAACATCAACGGGCATAGAGTTTCAGGAAGCAGAATAAAAAGGGATCTACAAAACAAAAAGCCTTTCAAAGGGATGGAGGCACCATTCTTTCAAATCACAAACAGATGATTATGATCACCATTAGAGCTTAATGAGCCTATATATGGCTAATGACTTCATCTCTCCAGTAGCTTTGCCAGTAGCATCCATCCTTCTCTTCTAATAAACGTAACCATCCTGCTAGTTGGTCAGAAGAAGTCATTGGATTTCTTCCTCCTCCATGAGCAAAAGCATGTTTCTAAAATCCACCATCCCCCAGTTTCAGAACTGAAAGGAACAGAACACAGAAAAGAAAATAAATAACATCAGCGTATGGTCTATGGAACCCTGGAGCACCTCGCTTCAGTTCTGGGTCAGTAACTGCCCTCTGACCTGGTTTTCTCAGCTCCAAAATGCAATTGATCACTAGCCTATTTCTGAAGATAACTTGGAAAATGCAAATATGTGCAACTGATCTTTTAACACACATAGGGGAGATGGTTTATTTAACATAATTTATATATTTCTTACAAATGCCATCATTGATTATGGCTATATTTTTATTTTAATAACCGTATGTAGAAAATGGTAATTATAAGTTTTAAACAAGTTATCTGCTGAGCCATTTAGACTATTAATTTGAAAAAGAAGGAAGACCTAAACTGAAGTTAGAATCTTTTTTTAATTAACCATACTATTATAATAGTTCACAGTGATACTTAGCGTTAAAATCATTTAAATGGGCAATATTTGGCGAAGTAGAAATAACAAGGTATCTTTTAAAGAATAGATATTAATAATAGGCAGTCTATTGGAAGAGAAAATTTCTTGTAAAAATAATAGAGACCATTCTGCACCATGATTTTTATTCATATGTTGGTATGAAGTTTTTTCATTTTCCTATTTTCAAAATATATCCAGTAAATATAGCAGATCTCAATCTAGTCTTGAATAATGACCACACACATATTACTGTCTTAACATAGTCTTGAAAAAGATCACATCACTATAATATTGAAAGTAAGGCAAGTAACAGTTATGGTGAAAGCAATAATATTAACTATTAAGACACTGCTTTAGTGTAACACTTCAGAAATTTTAAATTGTTTTATCTTAAACTATTACCGCATAATTTTGGGGGGTCTTTATGCTACAAATAAACGTTGATTGCTATGGTAATGTAAGAGACATGAGTGGATAATGTCTATTCCCTGTAACTAGCATTTCAGGTAAGTGTCATTGTGAAAAATACATGGCTGGGATAGCATTTTTGAGTTCTAGTCCCAAACCTTCTACTGAATTTCCCAAGTGATCTTGAACAATTAACAATGATCTAACAAAATTTTTGTTATATAAAATTTGAAAAAATAAATAAAGGAGTTTCAAAAGTGAAGGCTGATTTTTTTCCCAAGGATTTTATTTATTTATTTGACAGAGAGAGAGAGACAGCAAGAGAGGGAACACAAGCAGAGAGAGTGGGAGAAGGAAAAGCAGGCTTCTGGGTGATCAGGGAGCCTGATGTGGGGCTCGATCCCAGGACCCTGTAATCATGACCTGAGCTGAAGGCAGCTGCTTAATGACTGAGCCACCCAGGCGCCCCTGAAGCTGATTTTTAAGAAAAACTTTCAAGCAACAAAAATATTTAGTGAATTCCAACAGGCACCAAATCCACATTCTGTTCTCAGGCTTTCCTTCAACCTCTGCCCTTTCCTCTTGCACCCGGATCCCATCATTTCAAGAATGAAAGGGTTAGTTTAAAGTGAACCCTGTTCACATTCATTAGAAACCTTAAAATCACAAAAAGCACAAGCTAAATATATTATTGTAGTCTCACTGGCTAGATGTTTAGAAACTGCTTTTTTAAAGTAATTTAACTAATTTTCTTGAGGGTCTCTAACATCTCCTCAACTCTTCCACAAGGGAGTACAAAAAGAGTATAAAGTGTGATCATTGCTTTCTCCAGTTTATTTATAAAAGTAAAATCAACATATACAAAATAAATATATCATCACAAAAAATATATGTATGTGTTCATCCCAGTATTATAAATGATCAATTCTGTCGGAGTTCTGACAGAAGAGGCGGGATCCAAATGGGGATTATAATAATGAGTAGAGCTTGGAGATGTTGTTCTTCTCAGGACCAAATAACCAGTGGTCCTAGATTTACATTATCCAGGGTCTATATAATGAGCTACTTGACCCCTAAAAACAAGACAAAGGAGTAGTCAGATGAAGGGGCTGATTAATTCACCATGAAAGCCAGGTAAAACCCAGCAAACAGGTCTTTCTTTCACTCATCCGTGCAATGAAATCGAGAGTAGACATCCTACCAAAATTCCAAGCTTACCTGGACTATGAGACATGCCCATCACATTGCAACTGCAAAGATCCATCTTAGGTAGAAAGAATTCCTTCCCCTCAGGAAGAACTACAGTTATTGTAGCTAAGTTCAAGTCTTTAAGACCTAAATGTTGGGCTTGGGCGTAAAGCTTACTGAGTAACCCCATCTATTCAAAATAAAAAACTGGGGACTCAGAAGCTCATTAAGCATAAACATTCTCTTCCTGAGGACTCATTCTCCTCAGCTGTCCCTGCTGGCCCATGCTCTCTTTGGGTTTCTGACCAACCCCAAAAGGAACCGATTGAGAAAGAGAAAGCTAATACCATTATTGACATTCATAGAGAAAGACTGGAGAATATGGAAGATGAATCCCTGAATTAGTTCTATGAATTAACCATTTGCCATCTAAGGCAAAAAATGAGAACATTTATATTAATAATCCAAAGCTTGGTTCACACAAAAGAAATTAAAATTAGATACTGTTCTTGAAACTCTAAGTTGCATTGTGTTGTGAAAATAAACTGTGAGTATGTTGATGGCAGTGATATTTATAGCTACTGTGGATAGAGTGTTTATTGCATATGTGGCATTCTATGCTTTAATTTATGTATATCTCATTTAATCCTCACAAATTTATATACAGGAAGAAGGTATTGTCCCTGTTTTAAAGATGAAGAAATGAGGCTCAAAAATTTAATTTGATCAGATTTAACAAGGAGCAAGTAGCAGAGTCAGGACTCGAACCCGTGTCTATCTGAGGTCAAAGGGCATGCTCTTTCCATTATGTGTACTACCTCTCAGACAGTGCTGCCTCACTGTCTAATGATGCTTTTCTTATATACTCAGGTAGACCAGGAAGATGACTAAGTTGACAGTTTTATTGCATGTATGTACATTAACATCAACCAATACTTATTATTTAGTCCCATGAAGTCAATGAATGTTTCACAAGCAGATAGGCTACAGATTCAGAAAAATCAATGAGTATTTGACTAAGCAAGTGAATTATGAAGAGTAAAAGCATCATATGTGCTTTTTCTTGGAAGTAAAGGGAAAGCTAAGATGTTAATAAACCGGACCCAATGCTAATAACTTCGAGTCCCCCTACCCCAGTAGAAATCAATCTAACTCTAAGGTTGATTTTGCTCATTCCATAGGCTTATTTCCCAATGGAGTTCCTTAATTTTGACATTCAAAATACAGAGTTCTGTCATGGCTCTTTACTTTCAGATTCAAGGCCAGTTTATTTCTAATCTCTTCTCATTTATTATTGACTTTCATATAAAGCTCACTTTGTCTTGTTTTCACATTCCTCATGTTCTTACCCACTCTCTAACCAACTGTTTTCACTGTCTGGAAGATCTTCCATTGATCTTACCTTTTCTTCTCGTGTCTCTTAAGTCTTTACTGTATTCAGCTTCCAGGATCAGTAGTTCTGATTTTGCCTAAAGCTTTCCCAACTAATTAGATATAAAACACTATAATCCTTCTATGGAAATCCTCTTTCCTCTAT